AGATATCCAGGATGTCGAATACCATACTGTAGTTTTTTGTACCACAGTGTGTGTCATATGTATACCTGGACCGACAACTGTAGTGCTTACATACCTTTGCTTCTTTAAACTTGCCATTCGTTGCAGTTAATACACTCCCATATTCTACTGTTATCTAACTCAATGGTACCGACATACATGTACAGTGAATATATATACATGTTACCCTTCATATATCCATCAAATTGTGACATAGATCTTGAAACAACTGTTCTGTACAACTTTACACATGGCAGCGTGCCAATGTGGGTTCCCTACATAGTAATCATGATGTCTGTTTGTCGGTCCTAACGTATGAAATGTAATTGATATTCAATAAAACAAACATTATGATACACATATGTACTACTCACCGCTTGACTGCCCCTTGTGTGGATCATTGCCAATCGTATAACGTTTTTTGTTTCTCAGTTTACCTGTAAGTAAAATAGTATTTCATAATAATAACAAATAATAAAAATTCGAGGTTCTTCTATACAGCTTTAGTTCGTAAGTCGTCTCAAAGCTGTTCACAAATTATTATCCGTGGTTATACGGCCTTTGCAATCAGCCAATATCGTTCTCAACTGCCCGAGGAGCATACAACCGGTGCTGCCATTTCGGCGTTCACAGCTAGCATTCTATAATTCTAGCACTGCCCAACCACATACTCATCTACGGCGGAGTAGACTGGAACAAGCGGAGTAAAGTATCTTGCTCAATGATACAACACAGTGCCGTGCCGTGCCGTGCCGTGCCGTGCCGTGCCTTTAACTCGCAACCTTTCGGTCACAAGCCCGGCGTCCTACCACTAGACTATCGCGCCTCCTTATGAATCACATGGAATCATAGTTATAAGAATATGTATTTTTCTGTAGTGAAATGTAGTGAATATGCCAATATGTATCATATGTCACAATTTGTCATTTCAATTCTGTCAAATATGGTCCTATTTCGACGTCACACATTTTAGAATTCCCTTATTGATGACGTGCATTCTTAGACCCATTCATTGTGAACATTGCCATTTGCAAATGAAATCTTTTTACAAGACATTGAACGCCAAATTTCCTCTCATGAAATATATTTCCAGCAGACGTTTGTAGCGCTGATCTCGATGTGTTTTGAAGAACGATCACTACATGCTCTATTCGATGTATCCTCGCTAAGTTATCATCGATGACCTTTTCTATCACTGCATCGTAAGGAAGACTTTATGTGACGTAAAAACGAAATATCTATGCCTGATCTTGTCTTCCCCATCAAGGGTTTGAGTAGAGCGTCAATACTACCGATAGCCTTATTTTTGTCATGTGTACATATTAGACCGACAGCTGTAGTGCTATAGACCTTTGCTTCTGTAAAACTGCGACGAGAAGATCCAGTTTAAATTCAAAAGATATCTACCTGCACGTTTCGTACATACAATATATATCTACATGTTTCCGCTCAGATATCCATCAAATTGTGACCTAGATCTGGAAACAAATGTTGGGTACAAGTTTATACCGATCGCAGCCAACATTAGAATCCAGTTGACAAAATATCGGTATTAAGTGCATACACTTTTTATACCATGCGTAAGTAAACGCCATCTCTACATGTGATGTGTTGATAAAAACTGTATCTGTTAAATTCGACGATGCATATAGTATTGTTACATTGTATATAGACATTAAAAAAGTTATGTTTTGACTCAAAAATCGTTAAGCTTCTTGGTTATATACCAAATATATATTATTATAAATTCCTTTCCTGATTAGAGCACCGTATCAGAGATGTGGGTCATATAGGAATCATTATGGCCGTACGTCAGTGGAATGAATAGCATCCACGAACCTTTTCACAACATCCATCCACACTATCGTTTCACCCGTTGTCAGCATAATGTCACCGGGCGTAATGCTGTGCCGGGTGCCTTCGGCATGGTATTTAAGTGAGGTAGCACTATAAAGACGGCATCAGATCTGCACTATCACAAGAAGACAAAAACATCTGCATACCGTGCCTCCACCACATATACACAGATACACTCATACACATTGACACATCCTTAATGACCTTAGCTGTTTACGGGACGTTAACCCCTTCACGACCAACAACTAACCACTCCAGAGAGAATCCCAGTATCCAGAGGTCCTAAACCTTTTATATCCTACCGTTGGGCCCTGTAGCATAACCTTTAGGGGAAACTCTTTGATTTTTCAAAGTTGAGCTCAATTACTTGGATTTGACATGAGTGTCGTCGATGAAGCAGACGACGCTTAACTATCCGGAACGCATGGTCTCATTCTCCTTATACGTTCTCAAAGGTAAAAATGTAAAACTTTCCTTTGTTTATATTTTCCCATAGTTTTATCGATTTTGTGTTCGAATTGTGATTTTGTAGACGTTTTGTTCTTATTTTAACATCCTGGTCAATACTTACTAGCTTTTATGTGTCGATGGATATTCTGACTAATGACTATTATAGCTACCATATCATGATATCTGTGAATTGAATACCATAATTCGTTGGCCTGTAATATGTTGTGATCGACAGTTACCGACACTTTATAATTATTAGTCTGTACATTCACTAGACAGACGAATACCCACCCTCGATATCCTGGAGTTACGCTCACTTTCGCTCTCTACACCCCTGGAATATGTCATAGCAAATTTGAAGGCTCATGGTGGGACACATCGTTGATGAGACAAGAAGACTACTTCGATCTTTGGATGTATATAAAAAGAATATCGCGGTCACGTAACGGTAAACATTGACAGGCTTTTAAGTCGGGCGTCTCTCCTTTGTAATCTTCATAGGACAGGTATCGGCCTAGCGATCCGTCAGGTTTTTTTTACCCGAGACCAATCAAACAGCTATCTGTGTGCTTTAATTTTACTATGACATATTCCAGGGGTGTAGAGAGCGAAAGTGAGCGTTGCCCCTGGATATCGAGGATGTCGAATACCATACTATAGTTGGTTGTACCACAGTATGTGTCATGTGTATACCTGGACCGACAACTGTAGTGCTTACAGACTTTTGCTTCTTTAAACTTGCCATTCGTTGCAGTTAATACGCTCTCATATTCTACTGCTATCTAACTCCATGGTACCGTCATACATATACAATGAATATCTATACTTGTTACCCTACAGATCAAAATGTGACATAGATCTTGAAACAACTGTTCTGTACAACTTTACACATGGCAGCGTGCCAATGTGGGTTCCCTATATAGTAATCATGATGTCTGTTTGTCTGTCCTGACTTATGAAATGTATTTGATATTCAATCAAACAAACATTATGATACACATATGTACTACTCACCGCTTGACTGTCCCTGGTCTGTATCATTGTCAGTCCTATTTCCGTCGGTTTGCGATTTACCTGTCAGTAAAAGAGTGTTTTATAGTAATACTAAATAATAATAATTCGGGGTTCTTATATACCGCTTGATCACAACATAGTTCGAAGGTCGTCTCAAAGCGGTTTACACATTATTATCCGTGGTTATAGGGCCTTTACAACCAGCCAACATCGTTCTCAACTCCCTGGGTAGCATCCAACCGTAGCTGTCATTGCGGCGCTCACAGCTAGCATTCTAAAATTCTAGCACTGCCCAACCACATACTAATCTACGGCTGATCATGAGTAGACTGGAACAAGCGGAGTAAAGTATCTTGCTCAAGAATACAACACAGTGCCGTGCCTCGAACTCGCAACCCTTCGGTCACGAGCCCGGCGTCCTACCACTAGACTACCGCGCCTCCTTATGAATCACATGGAATCATAGTTATAAGAATATGTAATATTCTGTAGTCACATGTAGTGAATATGCGATTATGTATCATATGTTACAATTTGTTATTTCAATTCTGTCAAAAATTGGTCCTATTTCGACGTCACACATTTTAGGATACCATTATTGATGACGTGCATTATTAGACCCATTCATTGCGAGCATTGCCATTAGCACATGAAACCTTTTACAAGACATTTAACGCCAAATTTCTCTCATGAAATATATATCCAGCAGACGTTTGTAGCGCTGATCTCAATGTGTTTTGAAGAACGATCATTACATATTCTTTTCGCTGTATCCTCGCTGAGTTACCATCGATGACCTTGTATGTCACTGCATCGTAAGGAAGACTTTATGTGACGTAAAAACGAAACATCTATGCCTGATCTTGTCTTGCCCACCAAGGTTATGAATAGAGCGTCAATACTACCGATAACNTTAAAACTGCGACGAGAACTAATTTAAATTCTAAAGATATCTACCTGCACGTTGCATACATACAATATCTATCTACATGTTTCCTTTCGGATATCCATCGACCTAGATCTGGAAACAATTGTTCAGTACAAGTTAACACGGATCGCAGCCAACATTAGAATCCAGTTGACAAAATCTCGGTATTAAGTGCACAAACGTTTTATACATTGTGTAAGTAAACGCCATTACTACATGGGATGTGTTGATAAAAAACTATATCTGTTAAATTCGACGATGTATATTGTATTGCTACATTGTATATTAAAATTAAAAAAAATATGTTTTGACTCAAAAACGTTAACCTCCTTGGTTATATACCAAATATATACTAATAATAAATTCCTTTCCTGCTTAGAGCACCGTATCAGAGATGTGGGTCATATAGTAATCATTATGGCCGTACGTCAGTGGAATGAATAGCATCCCGGAACTTTTTCACAACATCCATCCACTCTATCGTTTCACCCGTTGTCAGAATAATGTGACCGGGAGTAATGCTGTGCTGGGTGCCTTCGGCAAGTATTTTAGTGAGGTAGCACTATAAAGACGGCATAAGATCCGCGCTATCACAAGAAGACAAAAACGCCTGCATACCGTGCCTCCAGCACATATACACAAATACACTCATACACAACACACATGACGGCACATCCTTAAATGACCTTAGCTGTTTACGGGACGTTAACCCCTTTACAACCAACAACTAACCACTCCAGTGAAAATCGCGGTATCCAGAAGTCTTAAACCTTTAAAATCCTACCATTGGGCCCTGTGACATTACCTCTAAGGGAGTACCCTTTGATTTTTCAAAGTTGAGCACAATTTGGCCAAGGATGCTCCAGACCAAATTTGGTTTAAATCCCTTTACTGAAGAAATAGGACTTTAAGAAAAGTGAAACTTCATTTGCAGTAGCACACCATCTCGTCATACAAATTAAATCCTTCTAGTCCAAATTGAGTCACTATCCCTCAATTTGTTCCTAGTTTTTTAAAGGAAAACTGATGAGGGAAATATATATTATTATTCCAAGTATTTTCCTTTTACATCCTACTCCATTATATTTTGAGTGAAAATTCGTTTTCAAAATTCTTATACTAGTCAAGCTTGTGACCTTTAACCCCCTAAAATTATAACATTCTCAATGTAATCTTGACCTTGACATTCAGAGTTACGCTAGAGTAGGAAATAACGTTGCTTTTATTTTATTTTTCAGCTTCAAGTTAAATTCATTCAAATTATTATTAGGTGTCTCTCAAAACTTTACTGTATACCCATATTTTCCCTATTAATATTCGGCTTGATTTATCTTGCTCAAGCCATGCCACATTTACTTATATATTATTGGCCCTTTTAACTAATGTAAGCTTTATACAAAATCTAATCTTTCATTCTTGAATCTGAGGTTATTAAGGGGTTGACGAACAGGCAATGGGTGTCCAACACTCGCTTCGCTTTTCTCAGGATAATTATTTGAAACATTTAACTTAATACATGACAAACAAACCACACCTATTTTTCTCTGCCTCGGCCTCATTTATTTAATTTGTTAATTCATGTATCGCTGAATTCATCTTCTGTGTAAATATTATGTTCTTCTTTGCTCTACTTTCGATCCCTGAACAAAAAAGAGTAATATGAACACCGCTAGTAATTGAATACTCTAGTTTGTTTTACGATAACCAATTCATCAGTTATTCCATCCAGTTAAAGTTTGACTCCCATAAAGTTGAAGCACTCTGCATAATTTTATAGTCATGTCAAAATTACCAACAAAACAAAATTGATATTAAAAACAAAACAAAATCAACATTACCTGTCGCAGTACCTTCTGCGCTCGTCTGCGCTTTCCTTTCTGTCCGGCTTGGAAGAAATATCCGAGGTGGCTTCCATGTTGTCTTCTTAGACATGATTTAAAATTCGCTAAAACAAAAAAGACTTGAGTAAGAATACTAAGGTCTTACATGAGTTTCCATTTCATATGAGATTTATGAAACGAGTTTAATATTTTTTCAATTTAGCGAGCCTCTGGCGAGCTAAAATGAAAATTCGTGACGAGTTTCATATATTTCCTATGATATAAAAAACGAGTGTAAGATCCTTTTTATCATATGATAAAGATTTGTAGCATTTATTTGTGTAAAACGACAATTTTCGTGCAACCTTCAAATGTAAAAAGCCGCCATTTTGACACTAGCGCGTAAGTCTGTGACGTCATGTACTTTTCCTAGCGTGAAGTCAAAATTGAAACAAATCAAACTTACAACCAATCACAGGGCATAAAAGTCATATTATATGGGTTAATACGCCAACAATTATGACATGTGTATATTCACTGGATAACACAGTAAATTATGTGATAATATACTTAAGCAATAACTGAATGATTGTTATATATGTGCATGATTTGATTACGAGATAGTTTTAACCTAGTGTGTAGAAAATATCTTCTATTTCTCACCTCAAATCAATTCCTCATTTCACCACACCTCAACTCCTCCGCCCCACCTCGCCTCAACTCCTTTTTTGCCACAGCTCAACTCCTCCCATCCAAACTTAACTCTTCCCATCTCACCTAAACTCCCCACACCTCATCGCAACTCTTCTTTGCTCACCTAAACACCTCACACCTCACTTTAACTCCTCCTCCCTCATCTCAACTCTTCCGTCATCATCTAAACTCCTTACACCTTTGACCCTGTTCGAGCTGGGGTTCCACAAGGTTCGGTCCTCGGACCGTTATTGTTTTTAATATATATCAATGATATTGTTGATTGTGTTTGCAGTAAAATAATTTTTTTGCAGATGACAACTCTCTCTATGGTATATGTGATAATAATCCAATTGAATTGGCACAAAACCTTTCTAATGACTTCACTAATATTAAGCTGTGGGCCACTAAATGGGATATTAAATTTAATCCTTCTAAAACCAATTGTTGAAAGCAAAACATACACATCAGGGCCCACTTGTATAAAACCTCTCAACTCTTAAGATTTCCTCAAGTCTAAGATTTCCCATAGACAATACATTGCTTGAGATTTTCCTTAACTTTGAGATGTTTTATACAAGTGGGCCCTGGGCCTTACACTTAGTGATGATGCCAAATGGAACCTACACTTATCTAATATACATGAAAAAGCATTTAAAAGAATAAATATCTTAAGGTTACTAAAAAATAAAGTTGATAGAAAATCCTTAACAACCTTAAATGCATCCTGCATAAGACCAGTTTTTGAATATCCGGATGTGTGGGACAATTGTACACTAGCTCATTTTTTTATTAGAATCAATACAATTAGAGGCTGCGAGATTAATTACAGATTTACGTAGAGGGACATTACATGATAAAGTATACAAGGAATCAGGATGGAAAACTTTGAGCTGCAGAAGAAATAAACATAAACTAATTTTAATGTATAGAATAATGAATAATGAAACCCCAGATTACATAAGAGAAATTATTCAACCATATATTCATGATGAAACTCTTGACATATATCCCCTCCGAACAAACAGATTATTTGATTCCCCTTTATGTCGTACTGTAAACTATTTTGAAAGTTTTTTCCGTCCATGTTAAATGAAATTAATAGACTTGCCCCAGATATTACTAACATCCAATATACCGCACAGTTAAAAAGGTTACTAACTACAAAGCAATATATGAAATCTGAAACAAGTGATGTTTATAAATACTTTGGCAATCGTGAGTAAACATTATACTTTGCCAATTAGGAAATAATGCTTGTAATCTAAATTATGTTCGTTATAAAGATCACTTAATTGAATCTCTAATGTGTGAGTGTAACGAATATTTCGAAACTGCTGCACATTATTTTTCTGAATGTAATCAATATAACAATATTTGCCAGACTCTCTAACAGAGTTTGAATCATTACACTCACAATCATCTGTGTATGAATGTCCTATTAAATGGTTGTAATATTTGTAATGATATACAAAAAAGAGATATCTTATCTCATATATCAAACTGTATACCGCAATCAAAAATATTTTCATTGATATAATCTTTGACTTACCCTTACTATTTTTCGGAGCAAATTCTTACATTTTTATAAAAAAAAAATCATGTTATATGCATAAAAGATTTATACCCCGGTGAACTACAATGACATAGCAGTACAATATATACCTAATGTAATATAATATGGAAATAATTAGATACTTTATTCTACTTTTGATAATTACTTATTACCTTTTATATACCTATTAAATGAAACTGGTTCTGGGCAGCTTAGATGGGGTTTTTATTGTGTGGTTTTTTTGTTTTCTTCTTCCTTTTTAAGCTTACATCAAGATATGAAGTAACTCCTTTCAATTTAATTAAAGACTTACTATATTATTTGCAGGAGTTGGTGTAGCCCTACTTACAAATTATACATCTATTTGCTTAAATTGGCTTTTGATCCTCAACAGTGTATGGCTAGTGTGTTAAACATGGACTGTATGGCCTGTATCTGTTGGGGGAACAAATCCAATATCACCAAATATTTATAATCATCAGTTTACCTTATATGAATACCAGTAACTCATTGTCTAATACTTGATATTATTCACTGAAGATAAAAGTCTAGTAAATATCTCAAATTAAATATCCCTAGTGAAAGGGTTACTATATCTCAAGAATACTGAACAAGTCTGTTTACATCAAGGGGTACTTCCCCTAATCCCAATCATCATATCAATATATAAATATATGTCTGTGTTTCTTACCACCTGTTGTCACCTTAAGGAGATGACTTAGATAGGCTATGCCTGATGTCTGATCCTTTTGACTATTGCTAATATTGTCAATAAATTTGTTGAAATTGCAACTCTTCACACCTCATTTCAACCCCTACCAACTGATTTCAACTGTCCCTTCCTCACCTAAACTCCTCACACCTCATTTCAACTCTTCCCACCTAATTTCAACTCTTCCTTCCTCACCTAAACTGCTCGCAACTCATTTCAACTCTTCCCACCTCACCTAAACATCTCACACCTCCCTTTAACTCCTTCCCCCTTATATCAACTCTTCCGTCCTCACCTAATCTCCTCACATCTCATTTCAACTCTTCCCACCTCATTTCAACTCTTCCTTCCTCACCTTAATACCTCACAACTCACTTTAACTTCTCCTCCCTGATCTCAACTCTTCCGTTCTCATCCTTACTCCTCATACTTCATTTCAACTCTTTCCTCCCTCATCTCAACTATTCCCATCTCACCTTAACCCTCTCACACCTCATCTCATGTCTTCCTTCCTCAACTTAACTCCTCATACTTCATTTCAACTCTTCCCAACTCATCTCATCTCTTCTTTCCGCACCTGAACTCCTCCTCCCTCATCTCAACTCTTCCTTCCTCACCTAAGCAACTTTTCACACCTCACCTCAAATCAACCCATCTTTTTTTAACTCTCTAAAATAAGTTTAATTAACTTTTTTACCTAAGTGTGACAGGCTACACGTAAACCCTATCTACACAAGTTTGAATTGTTCACCAATATGTCTAGGTTTGTCTTTGACTCTTTTGACCTTGATAATGGTCAATGTTACCCATTTCGATAATGTTAATTATCGGTTATGCCAGCAAGCTTAAGGTCATATCATGACTTTATTTCTAATTGCTATCTTCGGAAACTCTTGAAATATTTTGACCCATATATCCTGCACGCAGGTGTTTATAATCTATATGAACATATTTGATATCAAAGCTCTGTAAACCATTTTAATCAAAAGTTGACAATGGAAATCACTAACAATTTAGTGTTTTTGACTACAAAATTCCAATCGCCGACAAATGCGCTATATCAAACATTGCAAAATACTAGTCTACACGTTTAGAGTAACAATGATCTTGACCTATCGTGGAAATGAAAAAAAAATATGAGCTGGCCTAATTTTCCTTGGAACCTGTAAAAGGTTTTCAAAAGTTATTTAATTGTCCAAAGACAAAGGGATTAGACAACAAATATAGTCTGTATAGGTTTTCTTTCATACCAGATTTAATTGAGTCCGTTACACGTTATATGGATATCCAACAACAAATAAAGTTGTCAAATGATGATGTCACAGAGCAATACATACAGTGTTCCGCAACGAATGTAGAAATACAGCGTAAATGTATCAAACTGCATCAAACACAATGACTTTAAGTATATAAACAGCTATAATAAACAATCAAATTGATGTCATGTCATGGATGCTGATTACCTGTTGACGGTGTAGAAACAAACGTGTTGAAAGGTTAGTTACTAGTAGCTGTTGGTTAGTTACTAGGAGCTGTTGGTTAGTTACTAGTAGATGTTGGTTAGTTACTAGTCGGTGTTGGTTAGTTACTAGTAGATGTTGGTTAGTTACTAGTAGATGTTGGTTAGATACTAGTCGCTGTTGGTTAGATACTAGTCGCTGTTGGTTAGTTACTAGTCGCTGTTGGTTAGTTACTAGTAGCTGTTGGTTAGTTACTAGTAGCTGTTGGACGTCTGCTTCCGTCAAATCACAGCTGGGTAATGGAGTACGTGTAGCTAGATTAGGGTAGGTGAATTCGTGAATATTCATCAGGAATAGATACAGTTCATGGAATCTTGGCTTAATCGTAACAATAGCATAAGGGCATTAGACATTATCTTACAAAATACAGATAAGTTATTTTCCATGACAAATCGATAATTTTATAATGGATACAGATTTATTTATCGAATAGTTATGAATTATCTTATTAAACCCTACTTTCATTTGCGTTTCTATTTATATCACTGACCTCATCACCAATATCTAATTAACATATGATAAAAACATGTAACTGATATCTTTGTTTTCGTTTGTAATGATGTATACATGTAACTCTTTTGATAAAATAACCTCATCTGACATATCTTATTGAACATGTCATTTTTACGGCATTTTAAAAGAACATACCGGGATGAAAATCAACCAATGAGGTCCCTCTTTGTGTGTAGTTGTACTTGGTTCGGTTTTTAATTTTAGTTGATATGAATGATATTTCAGATACACTCGATCAACTGCAAGTCATTTCGCCATTACTTCTGCCTTTTTCATTCTTCTTGTAAAAAACAAAGGTGGGATCAACTTTTGGCCCCCTCTTTGATTTCTTTTATTCTTTAGCCATATGAAGATACGTAAAAATGATCAATAACTGCATATATAATTATTCATAATTACAACTGATAACCGTAGTGGACCTCCTTGCATAACACCAGGTTGAGTGACGGGGTATCCTAACAAAATGACAGATAAATGTCACAGGAGAATGTTATTTTGAAAATGAATTATGATAGTGTACAGTGCATAAAATTACTGTTATTTTGATGCTAGATATGTCATATTGGTAAACATGAAGTAAGCGTAATGATACTTTTAATTGGAAAAACATCTAAAGTTTTCACAAAATTCAAAATATAACCAACATTGTCAACTTGCCTTTATAAAGTTACAATTGTAGTCTATATTTTAAACTTCTTTAAAAACTTTCCATATACATATTCTGTCTACAGAATCATTTTTATGATATATCAAAACCGGTAAAGTACTTTTTAAGCATGCCAAACATGATCAAAGGCCAATTTCACATAATCATGGAGATTTGATTATCAATGTTTTTTATGGTAAAAACCGATACATTTCTGTTTTAGTATTATACCAAAACACTTTATTATATAACGTTTGTTTGAAAGTTATGCGCAGCAGTAATAACTCATATATATGTATTCTGCTAAAGTAATCGTTCCTCTGGAGAACTACTTAAGGTTGAGATTGTGTAATAGACAACGATATGCGATAATTTAAAAATAAAAACATTATCTTAATAGTAAAACTATTATACACTTAATTATACCCCCCGCAACGAGGTAAGGGCGGTATACTGTAATCAGCGTATCTGTCCGTCTGTCTGTCCGTAGAAAACGTTTGTCCGGACAACTTCTTCTAAAGCAATGGACCAATTTCAACGCAAGTTCCAAGATATGATAATTACCACCTGATGCTGTGTATCCAGGTATTATTTATTTCATTCTGACTCTTATTTTACAAAGTTATAGCCCTTTGTTGAAAACTCCTTGTCCGGACATGCCCTCCAAAACTAAGGGGTCAATTTCAAC